TGATGGGTCCAGGTAGTGGGTGTTTGATCCTCTATTAGTGTGTCCGTGTTCTGTCCCGGCAACGGTGTGTGGAAGCAATCCAGTGGTCTGAGTCGCCAATTCTTTTCTTGGGCTACCCAGTTCTTCCATATCAGTTTCCCATCTTCCTGCATATCAGCCATTTTTCGGTGGGGGTCCAGCCATAGGTCCTTGAACTCCGAGATAGCTTGCTGCTGCTTCTTCGGGTCAGCTATTGTAGCTAGATCAGCAGCAAGCTTTCTGCCGGCCTTTACTATGTTCGTCCTGATCGTTTCCACAATCTCTGCTTTAGCCTCAGGAAGGCCAAAAGTGAACTCTTTGTGTTCAGCCGAGCATCTCATTCTCCAGATGACCATAAGTATGGCCAGCCACGTGTTTGAACAGGTTGTGACGCCCAACCTCACGCCCGGCACGACTTCCTGATCGGAGTGGGAGTGGGCCTGGAAGTGCGAAAAGGGGTGTGCCAAGGATTTTTGGGAGAGTGGGGGGGGAGTCCCAGGTTGGAACTGAGATCTCCTGTGGCAAGTTTCAGGGGTAGAGATGTAAAAGGGGTAGGCGCGGGTTGAAGTCTGAGCGTGGAGCTACCACCTCAGTTGGTTCCGTCGCCTGGGTCGGACTCGGACTTGGTGCACCAGCAGGACGCTATGGCTATTGCGTTGTTCAACCACTTGCTGGCGTCGTGTGTTACTGGTCTCAGAGTCTAACACAGCTGGCCATAGCCGAAGGCTGTGCGCTCGTCGCTCTTCCTCCGATCGGGTTCGCCGGATGAAGCCGGAGGCTTGGTACTCACGGTCCTGCAAGCACTTCGAACACGGGGGGTGGGGCCAATATGGAGCGATGGCACGCCAGGGGATGATGGTCAGCGAATGAAAGGGCAGTACGCGGTGGTAGGGAGGGAAGTCGGTTTCCAGAATAATTATTCCTGGTCCGCAACGAGGTGGCACGTGTATGAGCTGGGGAATTCAGGGTGGTGGGGAATATGCTCGCGAGCTCGATCGATGTCCCACTCGCAGATACGTTCGTTTCCCACCGGGTATGGGAATTCAGGAAGGTTCCTCCTCGGTCGTGCAGAAAAACGCACGTGCTCCTAGTACTCCCGAAATTCCGGATCCCTCAAGCACTTGCGATCAGTAATACGAAAAGGGAGTTCAATATTCATGCTGTGGGGTGAGGGGGGGACTCCGTCATTCGAAAGGTTGGACCGAGCACTGGCACTGCAGACACGTGTATAGGCCACGTTCTTCTGATCGGGCTTACACGTGCGTGCACAAGGCCTGCCCTTCGGTCCTATAGACAATGGCTAATAACCCGTATCTCGTACGTGCTGGCCTGTTAACCGAGGGTGGACAGCCCTAGGTGCGAGGCAGACATCTGATCATCTAGCATGCTTACTCAATTTCGACAGATAAATACCCATCTTCCAGTTTTATGCATACATAAGCAGGGGAAAAAAGGAAGGTGACAATCAGGATCGTACAAAATTCGATCGCAGGCAATTAATCAATCAATGGGGTCCATCCGTATGGAGGGGAGAACAAATGGGAGAAACAGTCATTCATCAATCACTAGAGACAAGCGAAGGAAAAATCCGAGATGCTGATCGAAAGAAACAAAGGCGACTTGCGCCGGATACCAAAATTGCTCAGAAGGAAAGAAGAAGGGCCAAAATTATTTGGAGGGATAGAAGAGAACACCACCACAACACCTCCCGTCTCTTTCTCTCTCTCTCTTCTCACAACTTCCCGATGCGGGCAGTCCCTCGCCTCGCACCTACGCCGAGTTGTCACCCCGCTTGGCCTGAGCATGCCCGTCAGGTTCGCCCATGTGCCACAGTCCGTCCCGGCCCCACGTCAACCGCACACGCCCAGCACCAACTCGTCGGATCGCCCAACTCTCTACTCACATGCCAACTCCTGCTCGTTAGCCGATCCTCTCGACCATGCTAACTCCAAAAGGTCTTAGAGAGGGAAATTAATTGCGCTTGCGAAATTTATAGAATGCATGTTTTGTGCGAGATACTCGGGATCGTGTTTTGGTGGGAGGAAGAAGGAGGAAGGAAGTGCCTACGCCTGCATGGCCAGACCGCGGCGTGGGGAACGCAGCCACACTCCACACACCGATCCAGTCATGCAAGCGTTCAGGCCAATAGGACGGAGGAGAGGTATGTGCGCGCACGGATGCCACAAAAGATATCAAGAACGAGAGGATTACAGTTGCGATCACGCCCGCCAAAACAAAGATTACAGTTACACACGAGATTAAGGCGCAGGAAAGCCAGAACACAGTTCCCGACACGGCCGAGCGTACGCAAGCAGGAAGCGCCGCGCAACAGAAATTGAGATGCGCCCAAATTCCTATTCTAAGTTCCAATTACAAAAAGGAAAATCCGAACGAAGCAAATTCTGAGAGGCCGCAGGGGCTCAACATCAGTTGAAAATTCAAAAAGATTTCCCCGCGCGACAATCGCGCCAAAATTCCCATTTCCCACAGCAGAACAAGAAAGAAGCTATGGCAACTGTTTATTTGTCGCGCTTGCTGAGGCGCGATCAACTATCAACCGTCGTGGGTCCAGACCAGCCTTCAACCAAAAGAGACAAGAAAAAGCAGGGGCATCCATGCGAACCGCCAGGCCATTCTAACTTGGCCAATTCCATACAGCCTTGCGCAGAAATCCGCGCGGTTGCAGAAAACAGTTCGTCACAAGGTTTTGTTGGAATACAGACCATGTGGCTGGGGATTTCTTTGTCCTCCCAACAGGATCAGGCCTACATCCAATTGGAAGGGGATATCCGAGAGTTTGTGCCAGAGTGCGTCCCACCAGCGCCGAACTTGGAGAGCCATGGGACAGGCCAATAGGCAGTGTTCCAAGTCTGCTCGTCGGCGTTGTGATGTTGAGTGCCCACAATATGTGCATATCGGAGACAACACCCCTTTTTGTTCCAGGTTTGAGCGTGTTGTTATCCAGTCCAGGGTGAGGAGGAAACGGTGCATGATCTGCCACTGAAGGGCCCGGTGAGAGGTCGGCATAATGTGTGCATAGGAGGTTGGACTGGAAAGGAAACAGGGCCTCAAGTCCCCCTTTTTAACCATCTAAAAAAAAAAGATGCCAATGCATGCTCTTTTGAGACGGCCCGTTAACCAACTGGTCTAGCTCAGCTGGTATACCCCTAAATTGTTGAATACAGACCTGGGTTCAAATCCCACTGGCAGCAGATGAGCGAGCAAAATACTAAAATTAAAATTTATGAATTACCTAGGGTCGGTCAGTTCGATGATGATATCTGAAGGCCATCGACCCTTCAAAAAAAAAAAGAATAGGGGTAACTTCAGTAGAGTCACAAAAACGAGTTATAATTTTACTGTGGGGCAAGATACAGTTTGCAATTGCACTCCAGGCACCTTACTTGGCCAGAAAACTGGGTTGTATACATTGCCCGAACTGCAATTGGAAACTGGATGTTGGCCCATAGTGCAATTATAACTCATTTTTGTGACTCCCGCGTAGTTTCCCCCCCCAAAAAAGAGAGGGAGGCATATCTCGACAGGCCTCTTCAATTCACCCGGAGCAAAACACTACAATCCTGAAACAACTAGTGAACAAGGGAATACCGACAGATGATGTCTGCAAATGAAGGGCAAAAGGGGGTGTAAACCAGTCACGAAGAAACTGTCAGCAGAGGAATGTAGGATATCAGCACCCCTAGCACTTGTTCAAGCTGTTCAAAAAAAAAAAAAAAAAAAAGGATAGTTCAGAAGAGAAGTCCCAGTAACAGTAGTCGACCAGCACAGCGCAAAAGCCCAGGTTGGGAGAGAGAGGGGGGGGTTTATTACTTTTTAAACCACCAGTACCTCGGTCAGCTATTGAATCCGAGCCTCCCAGTACAATGCGCGCCAAGTCCTGCCGAACCGCCTTCGCAATTTTCTTTTTCGTTTTGCCTGCGGCCTCCAGCCAATGCCGTCCGGCAGGCCGAAGCCCAAATGGCTCGGCGCGTATACGGGAAGCGCCGCGGCCGATAGCTGGGCCAGGTACTGG